AAAGTATCTTCTAACTTAGATTGTTTTGGTATTTTAAATATTTTACTAGGATGTATTTTACCTTCTATGATATCATCTACATATTCTGTATGGAATTCTTGATCTAAGAATGACACTGCTTCATTATGGGTATCTCTTCTTGCTAAGTATTCGAAATATCTAGTATCTAATATTTTATTCATGTCTTCTAGGGTGAAATTTTCTAAGTCTATCTCATTAATATTATATATCTTATTTTGTGATATTGTTTTTTCTTATATTATTACATAAAGCTGATTTATTTCACTACGATTATTTTGATTTTCTTCTCTGTCTATACTGCTAAATTCATCATCTTCAGATTTTTCTGGTGCTACATAAGTATACTGAGTAAATCGTACTGCATAATTTCCATCTGTTGTTTGATATAATAAATTATCTTGAGGGGCTAATCTCTTTTGTCCTAAAAAATCTCCTAAATTCCAATCTAATGCTGCATTATCTTCAGAATTAAATTTTTTAGCTAGTAGTGCCTTTATTCCTTTTGCGCCTAATAACTTAACTATTTGGTCATTTGTAAGTCTATAGTGAGTATTACTTTCTGAGACCGCTAAGCCTAAAAATCCTGTGTAAACTAATAAATTCTTTTCTCCTTTTTTCATTTTGTATCCCCTGCTTTTTATTCATATTTTTATCTTTTTATGAAAGGTCGAGATTGGTAATAAAAAATCTGGTGTAAAACAAACTATTCCTCCTTTTGAATTCATATCTAATTCGTAGCTGCCTAAAATACTTTGTCCTACATCATTAAACCTATCATCATAAAGACATACAAAAACTTTTGTTCCTAAATTTTCTCTGCTTAAAGCATTAACTCCTACTACTACTAATCCTAAGTGAGTCATTTTAAGGTGTTCATTTACTGCATATTTATAACTTTCTCTTTCTATTAAATTTAGCTCTATTTTTTAATCTTCCTGAGTTACACTAATCATTTGTTCACCATAGTGTTTAAGTAAGTATTGTTTTTTATGGATTTTTCTTAACTTATATACATATTTAGCTGGAATTAATTCTAACTTTTCTTTCTTAAATTTTTCTATTTGTTATTCTACATCTATAAATTCTTCTACCTTAATATCTTCATCTTCGTTACGCTTTTTGCTACTACTTCCTTTTATTAGCTGTTTAAACATGTTTATTTTCTGTAAATTCTACAGGCTGGTTTCCTAGGTAATTTAAGCTTTTCAAAATATCTAGCTATATCTTCCTCGTTTACCTGAGATCGAAGTCTGTTGGATTGTCCTTCTACTCCTTTTCTTTTTTGAAGTATTATTTTTTCTAAAGAAGCTAGACGATTTTCTAAGCTATGTAGTTGTTCTGATAGATATTCAAATTTTTCACCCAATCTAATTAAAAATAAAATTTCTATATTATTTTGTCTTACTGTTATTTTATCTGATTGATTCATACCCTGATAACTACTGATTCTTTCTGGGTTATTATGAAAATCTTCTGCTTGTTTTAAAATAGTCTGGTAATCTCTATTAGCCTTTTTATCACTACTCATAAACTAAGATCTTATTAATTGTTCTAAAATTTCTAATTTCTGTTTTAAATTATCTTGAATTTGATTAATTTGTTCTATTTGTTTAGCTATTTGATTTGTAGCTGAAATTAATGTTTCTATTTCTAGCTTAGTAGGAAATTTTTCTAAATTTAAATCTATTCTTTTTTGTAGGATAGAACTACACTGATCTTGGATATAATCTAATTTTTTATCTTGATCTTTAATTATACTACGATTATTATGGAGATGATCTATAGATGAAATAAAAAGATTACTAATTTTATCTATGTCCTTTTTAATATTTTCTGTAAAATTAATCTGATAATCTATGATACTATTTAGCTGAGGATTATGTTCGCTATGAAACTGATTTGTAAAAGTTTCTTCAAAATTACAACGAAAACTATTTTTATTTATGTTGAGACAATGATTATGGCTGCTGAGTTCTAAATCTAGATACTCTACTCTTTTCATACACAAAATTAACTCCTACTTTAAAATTATTAAAAGCTACTATAACATGAAATTTATAACTAAAATGTCCAAAAATAAAAACTACTCTATTTCCATAAGCAAAATGCATAAACTAACTTAAAGTGTCCTAAAATCGAACACTGCTCTTATACCAATTTTTATGGGGGTGAGTTAGTGGTCTACCACTATTTTGAAATTGGGCTGAGAATTATCTAATTAATTCTACAGTTATGCTATAAGGTCTTCAAGCTGTTGTATGGCTAACTTTAAGGTTTCTTGTTTTACAGTTAGTTGTTTATTTATTTGAGAAAATTTTAAACTGTAATTTTCTAGGGATCTGCCAGAGGCTAATGATAAAAGAAATTGATATTTAAATTTTTGATCTTCTAATTCTTGTATAAGTTTAGTATTAATTTTGATTTTAATCCTAAGTTCTTCGTCTAAAGGCATACGATTTTGATTTTTTCAAATTCTTTTATGGATAATATTTCCTTAATATTTCTACTCGGGTTGCTCTTCTTTTATTCTAAAATTCTTTTCTATGGCAAAACTATTTTTAGGCAATGTTTGTTTTCATTACATGTACTCCCACCTTGAAACTAACCCTCGTTCAACATTGTATATTTTTATTTTCCATTTTTTACCTTTCCCTTTCTGCCTACAATCTGCCCTTCAACACCTAACCACGGCTCACACGGGCTCTTCAACTAAGGTCACTAAGTAACAAAATAGAAAACAGCAGATACTACGAAGGTTCAAAGCATGTAATATTAATGAGCAAACAAGCATTCCATAAACTTAGTTTTTCCAAAAAGAAAATAAATTTTTAGAATAGAAGAGTTACCCTTTTGAAATATTTAAGGAAAAAGAGAAACTACTCACACTTCATATTAATAAGAAATATACTTACAAAGATTATATTACAGACTCTGAAATTCTGAAAGACTTAATACACTTAGAGGTTTTTGAGATGGGTTGAAAATTTTACAACGCAGAGTGAAAGGGTATTTTTCATTCTGCATCTTCCGTTAGCAAGCATGCCAATTTATACAACTCAAAAAGAAAATAAAAACAAAGCTTCAAATCTTTGCCTACGTCTAAATTATCCTAAAGAGTCAAAACCTAGGCTAGCCTATACTTAGGCTTTTTTGAAAATTGAATAAGGACAAAACTATATATGTATACATTTATATGCAACTTTATGCAAACTTTCTACGCTTAACTCAATCACTATTCTAGACATAGATAAATTTTATCAATAAAGGATTAGGATAATGATATCGGGTACTGTTTTGGGCCTCATCGCATATCATTCAATCCTCATTTTTTGACAAAATTTTGACACTATAATTTATTACAAGACACGTATAAAGATTTTCACAGCTTTTCTTTAATAAAGCAGGGTAGGGGTTATCCATACTTTATTAAAGTAGTGAGTGAAGGAAAATCCTTATCACTGACAGACTCAAATAACTACAGACACAAAATATCTACAAAATCTTTTTTGTCTTTTCTTGGCGTGCATTTTTCTGATATTCGAGGAGAAGCTTTATCTTTTACGGATTTTGTCTTTTTCTACTAGAGCGCCAATTATTGATGCTGACCCAAGGAGTGATACTTCTAGGCAGGTTCTTGAAGGATTTGCAAAATTTAAAGAGTCAAGATCGTGGAGCCATTAGAATAATTTTTAAAATATTATAGGAGTCTTGTAGTGGGACCCTTGTTTTTTTTTTTTTTTTTAAATATATTTTTTTTTTTTTTGTTTAAAGTGCTTGCCAACTCATTAGTGGTGCTTTAGAGCATTACTTTTAGTGGGATGTATCATTACCGATTCTTTAGTGTATTTTTCTCAAATGTAACAACGTAACACTCTAAAAAAATTCCTTAGTGTATATTTTCCAAACGTAACACTCTAATGTAACACGCAAAAAAACTCCTTAGTGTACTTTTTCCAAACGTAACACTTTAATGTAACATACATAAAAATACAAAAAAAATTCTTAGTGTACTTTTCTCAAACGTAACACTCACAGTTTGAATTTATATATTTGTCCAAAACTTACTAAGAATTTTTGTACCTTTTTTGAAATGATTTGAAAATCTCACATCCTTTTGGAATGATTTGAAAAATCTCATATTCTTTTTTTAGAGTGTTACGTTTGAGAAAAATACACTAATTTTTTCTTTGTGTATGTTACATTGAAATGTTACAGTAAGGAGTTTTTTTGGAGTGCTATTAAAATTAGGCCTCATTTGACAACTCAATATTTTAGTTTAAAAGTTAAAAAGACACTAAAAAAAATTAAAAAGTTAACAACTTATTCTAAAATGTTAAATATTCATTTTTCTCTATATTTTTTTTGTAAAAAATTAAAAATCATTCCAATTATATTCAGTGTGCTTGGTTTCAATTTTCTAAAAGTTGAGTTTTTTATTTTTCATTTTTTTTTTGTGAATATTTTTAAAATTTTAAATATTTTTTTTTACTTTTTTATATACATCTTATTTAGATGCATCTAAAAAGTAAAACATTTGTGAAAAAATATTTTTAAAAATTAATAAATACACAAATGTAGGAAAAATATATTGAATTTCTATTTTTTTATTTTTTATTTTTTTGGTATTTAGTGAATTTTTTTCACAAAATTATACCTTTTAAGTGTATTTATGTTAAGTATGTCTAAAAATAAATTAAAAAAATTACTTAAAATATTAAAAAAATCAGTGAAAAAAAAAAAGAGTAAAATTTTTTAAAAAGTAATCAACCAAAACCAAACAGAATAATTAATTTTTCACTTTATATTTTAATAAAAAAATAAAAAACAACTAAAACAAACGACGCGATACACTCAATTGTCGCAAGTACATCATAGTCGCACTAACATTTCGGTTTCTCTCTCTGTCCCAGTGAAGGCAGCAATCTTCATCCCAGGTAAGCTTGAGATTGCAATTTCGGTACTATATCTATATCTATATATTGACGCATATACACTCATGTGCTTCGAAGCCTCCGATTTCGCTTGATATCAAGATCAATATTTTAGCTTTCTAGGGTTCCTGATTTCGTTATGTTTATCTATATACTCATCCATAGTATTCTCTTTATGATGTCTTTGAATAGTTTGTTAATTGTTTTTTGTTTTTTTGGTTGCAATTATGTGATATCAGTCTCAGCCATCAATTGCACATCTTCCATGTTTAACAACAATATGTGCATAAAGAAGACTTATTTATATGTTAGAACAAGCAGCCAATGTGAAATTCATTGAATCCATTTTTAGAGATTGAACTTGTTTTTATCATACTTAAAATGTGAGTTCAGGAGCTAAACTATGATCTGTGTTCTGTACTCTTATTCATTGTTGGGTCTGCTTTCTCTAATCAATTGTCTAGTGCTTGTGTTACAAAATATTTTATGTTTCAGGCATTAAATGGTTCAATTATTTCTATCCGAACCCACCTGGAGCGATGCTGGGAATGATGAATCTGTTAAGCAGCAGATATCTCTGTTAGACAAGCTGCAAAACATGATCTGGTCATTTATTATGTCATGTGGAGGTCGATCCGAGGCTCGGTTGTGGCTTTGCAACAGTCTTGCAAGCATAAGTTCTATGACTCCCCGCCATCAGCATGAGCTGTTTGTGAAGATATTGAGATCCAAGCCACCGAAGCGGGCTGTAGCAGCTCAAGTTTTGCAAATGATCTTTGAGAAGCATCCACGCAAAGCAGGGTCTATCCTAGCCAAGAAAAGTCGTCGGCTTGAGAATTTTTTTAGAGGCAAGTTAGTTTTGGCACATTTAATAATGAAGTTATTTTAGTTTAACTAGTTTGCCTAGTAGATTCAACCTAGTTCTTGTAGCTCAAGCCTCCGGGTTTTGTCCTCCACCTTTTTCATCTAAAACAATACAAATGATTTTTATTTTTACTTTTAACACTGTGTGGTCAAGTATAACAATTAATAAATATCTAGCGCTTCCTTAGGGTCCATTTCTGATGCAATTGCAAAAGCCTGGGCCGCCAATTGTGATAATGCTAGTTCATGACTGTGGGCAACCACTTAATGCAATAGTGCTGGAAGTTAGGTCTGTACGCAGCCCACCCTCTATTAGTGGTAACCCAGGTTACTGAATGGATTTATCTAGTTTACTTCACGATGGCATATTAATACACATCGGAGGTTGTGGTATGTGTTAGCTTTTGATGTGAAAATTTATGGAGTTCTTATTGTGCCATTACTCTTGAACAATGCAGGACATCCAAGACGAATCTTGCAATGGTTTTCTAATTTTGCTGGTAGTGGTAATTTGGGGCACATAAGAGGTGCTAAGGCACTGTCTCAGTTTGCTTTTGTGAATCGGGACATCTGTTGGGAGGAGCTTGAGTGGATGGGGAAACATGGGCAATCTCCTGCCATGGTTGCTACAAAGCCTCATTACTTCCTTGATTTGGATGTCCAACGAACAGTGGAAAATTTTATAGAAAATGTGCCTGAATTTTGGTCATCCAATGAGTTTGCTGATTCATTAGAAGATGGTGACATTTTGTTCATTGACACCAAATTCTTTGTAGATTTTTTTGTTGATTTGATGTTCAAGGAGGATGCAAAAGAAGTATGGGAAGTCATAAATGAATTTCTAATGGAGGAACCTTTCTCTTCTTTATGTCACCACCTCCTTATTATTCTTGATGAGCGAGAGTTATATGTTTTCTTGGAGTCACTCCGTAAAGTTCTCAATCCAAAGGTTGAATCAGTGAATTTTGGTAACCCATCATATTGGCTTGAGATTATACTTTCAAAGTGCAGTGATTCTGTATCTATCGATCAGCTACTCCTCCTCAATGCAGTTGTAAGTCAAGGACGGCAGCTTCTGCGGCTTGTATGTGAAGAAGAGAATGAGGAGGAAAAAGTTAAAATCAAAGACATTGTTGTGCAGGTTTGCACGTGCTCAAGCCACCCCTATAGTTTGTCCTCAATAATGAAAGAATGCTTCAAGGCAAAGACCATAGAATCGGTCAAATGGTTGGGTTTACAGTCTTGGGCTCTTCATTATAGATTATCAGAGGAGTGCCAGACTCCTGAGTCCTGGGAATCACTGTTCATTGATAATGGAATAAGTTTTCGCAGGCCTGACAATTATGAGTTGCTACATCATGATGGATTCTCAGACGAGTGGGAGTCTGATTTGGATGAGAGGGCTTCTGTTAGAGTCAGACGGAAGAAAAAAGAGAAGCGTAGAAAGAAAAGGAGAAAAAACCATGATGATATTGACATCTACAACAATGAGCCACTGGATCTTGATATGTCAAACAACAGGTTGAGCTTGCAATCTAGGGCTGGCAATTGGTTGCTTTCTACTGATGGGTATTCTATTTCATGGAGCAGTGTAAGTTTATTATCCTTCATTCTTTACTTAAATTTGTAGGCTTCTTTATTTTAGGATCACTGCCTTTTTCCATTGCTGATTCACTTAGCAATTTTTTGATGCCAATGATATGTCATTCTTTGAATGCGTGATTAGTAAGGTTTGGAAATTAATTGTGTTTATAAATCTCGTCAAGCAAAACTTTTTAATGAGGTGGCTTTGTTTGTAACTATTTACTGTTATGTTAGGGGACTTTGTACTTGTGGGGTCACGGATGTCAAAAATATGAAATAAGCATTGTGCATTGAGAAATTATAAGGGTGATAGATGGCTACAACATACGCTTAAAGTTGATGATTTTAACACCAATTTCTCAATTTAGTGATTTTTGGACCAAAGAAGTCTTCTTGGTATGCATGCTTATTCAATTTTCGTTGTCTTTTTTATTTTTATCTCAGAAACTTGCTGACACCTCATTTTAGTATTTATTCAGCAAAGTATTTTGGGTAGTCATATTGCACTTAAACCTGACATGACCGTCATTGAATTTGTATGCCTTATGTATTAGTTAATACAAAAAAGGTCCCATTAGTTTGTGTGTCAAACTAGTTTGCTTTCAATGTTTTTTTTATCCCTTCATTTTCAAGGTGCACAGTCTCTCTTTCTCTCTCACCAATTTTTTTTATAGTTGAAAAATAATAATAACAATGAAATGAATCTCTGTTTATTTTGTAGCTAGACGTAGCATAAATATTTAAATTGCCTGATCTTTATAATGTTTTGTAGGTGGATTTACCAGAACATCTGTCAAAGCATTGCTTTTCTACATGGATGAAGTGGATTTTTGCAAGATGGAGAACTGAGGCTTAATTATTTTGCCATGGAATCCTTAATTCAAATTCCTTCATGTTAAATTCACGATCATATAGAGAATTACAAATTTGCTTTGAATCAGGGTCCAATCCTCCTTTTTGCCCCTTCTTTTAAAGAATCTAGATGAATGAGATTGGATGAGGGCAAATGGGCAATATCATCTCCCATTCTGATATGGAACTATGCTGGGATGGACGATTCAAAGGTGTGCATAAAATTCTTAGGCTATTATTCCGAATTGTACTTATGAGCTTAAGACACCTCAAGCAGTTAAAACTTAAAAGTAACATTACTTTATTGATTCTGATATGCTGGGTGGTGCTATAGACTCCGTGGCTTCAATGTGATTGGCATCTGGACTTTAGCAGGTGCCATGCAAAGCCTAGCTTCTTCAGATGGTGCTTTGGGTTTTTTCAATGATTCACAAAAGCTTTGAGTTGTGTGAATATTCAGAGGGAAAACTAGAACATACTTTTTTTTCTTTTTTATTTGGTCAGTTGAATATACATCTAGTTATAAACCTTTATGACCGCAAAGGCAGTAGTTGCAAACAGAAGATTTTGTATATGCAGAGGAAGAATGCAAGGAGAGTTGAATATGACTACTTTTGTGTGGCTACCTCTTTTATCTGTGATATATTTGTTGTTTTGCATATGAGGACCAGTGATGTGTAGATTTCAAGATTTGTAACAGTGAGCCTCGCTGGAAGTTGGGCTTGGGTCATGGTGGAGTTTATAGAAATAATCAAGGAACTACTACTGCATTGGTATTTCATGCGCCATCAAGGCTGGATTTGAAACTTTTTTTAGGGCTCAACTTTTGTTAGGTCTCTATGCTTATGCTCTTCATGTTAGTCTCTGGCATTGTGCCATGAAATTCAGACTTGGATTTTAGTTGAATTTTAGAACTTTGATTAAAATTTGACTCTATTTACATTTTTTTTATACATAGAAAATCATTAATACCATCAAAACAAATAATTTAAATAATATAAGAGAAATGTCGCTATAATAGTCTTTATAATTTATGAGTGAATAAAAAAAAACGTAAGATTTTATATTATTTGTATATATAATATATATTCAATATGATTTAATAATCTAAATTATTTTAATATTATATAATGGCTAATAATTTTTATATATATATATATTTAATATTTTTATATATCTATATATAATTTGAATTTCGGATTGTTTGATGTCTTTGTCCAAATCCGTCCAAATTTAATTAGATCTTCTAAATTTTTGTTCAAGCCAGTACTGAATTTGAAAATATTTTGTCCAAATCTTAAAAATATTCGTCTTGAGTTCAGATTGCTCGGGTTAAGTCCGCCCAAGTTGCACCCCTACTTTGGGCTAATGGCAGTTTCTATCTACTTGTCTGTCAAAATGGAATTCAGTATACTTTTTGGAATCCAATGTCAAGTAGATGCAGCAATGTATCAAAAGTGAGAAACTAGGTTTCTTGTTCAAAAATTGGAGTGTAAAGTGAACTTCATAATGAGGTAGTTATAACTTAAATAGCAGGTCGCCTACAAGACTGACCATATAGTCCTAATGGATTGGCCTTCCGCTTAAGACTGATATCAACTCCAGTAATCTTTTGCCTCAAACTTGGGTTGAATTCTTGCAGGCTGCTCAAAATACATGCCATACTTGCCAGGCAGTAGACCACACAGAACCTGCTGCAAATTGGGTATGCCTTCACAGACGAAGCATTCCAATAAGGTCCTTGAAAAGTCCTTGTTTTCCAGTTCATCTATATAATGATTGCACAATCAAATTTCATTTAACCTTCACAACACGCCAAAGAAAAGTTCAAGATGGCAATGGTAAAGGATCTCTCAGTGCATCCTTAATAGAAGAGCATGTAATATAACAAGCAACCTGGCAAATCATGGATCCGGCTATGTTCAGTTGCATGGTATCAATATTATACTAACAATAACACAGTGCATAGATTGGTCGACACAACCAATTCAAAGTTATACGTTCAATGTTTCACCTGTCCAGGTACACAAATAGAAAACCTTTTCCCCATTTTTTTATAGTACAATCTTATTCTGTTTACAAATACAACAGAGGATTTGGCAATCTCATTGTATCCTTACAAGGTACCGGCTGTTCAAAGAGCTTCATGTTGACGTAACCATGAAAATGCAGCCCCTCCATTTTCAAGCCCTGCAAATAAGGAGAAAATGTCAAATAAACTTATTTTGGACATGACTTGAACCTTGAAAGAACATATGATTTTTCAGCAGCCTCAAACCAAAAAAATTCACGAATTGGTAGAAGGTCAAAAATAGAGTCAAGATGCTCCGAAAACAATTTCATATTTCATCATTATATTTGAAAACCACAAACATCACCCTAAGATTTGAATTCTTACAGCTATGATTTAGGAAGTATGGACACACACCTACTAGTGTGTCGTGTCTCTGTCAGACATGTTGGATACCAAACACGATTTTAAAAACAAAAAAAAAATTAAAGCTGGACATGCTTTGTTCACACATGGGATACATGTACCATTTTTGGACTCGTGAAAGATATCTAAAGTCTTGACACAAGTCTGAAATATAAAAAAGGTCAAAGATATTGCTTTTTTTTCTTTTCTTCTTTCAATATATTAAACCCTTTCCAAATTATTTGTAAATACTCAACATTTCTAAATGTAAGACAATAGGACTTCTCAATTACCACTCTCCAATATTACATTATTGTAAAAATAAGAAACTTACCTACTGATGCGAATGCTGGCAAGCTCACATATTTGGGACAAGAGCTCTTCGAAGAAATAATGTCATCTTGACTGGTAAATCCAATTACACAATCCCGAGGCTGCAATAACATTAAATTATCAAAACAGGCATTAGAGTTTCTTCAATGTAGAGGAAATCAGAGAGAAATGTGAATCCAAACAAGGATCCTTTGCAAAGAAAGAAATCAAAAGACCCTGCTAGATTCAAGGCTTTTCCCTTGGAATGGCACCATGTCAAGTTATCCTGACCATCATTGTCTCATTTCCATTTTTTTGTTTCTTCTTTTTTAAAAGTTTGTCAGAAAATATTTTCATATCATCTTAGAACATAATTTATACACACATGCACGCCGTAACACCTGGGTGCGTTGGTTTCCAATATAGATAATAGCATTTGAAGCAGCAGGGAAGTTATACCTTAAAATCCTTATAGAAGCATAATCGCAGTTCCTCCACTGCACCATCAGAGCAAACCACTAATGGTGTTGCATGGAAGGCATTTTCAATTGCAGAAATAATGCCTCCAAGAGGATATTTTTCAGAGTTCGATGGCACATATCCAGCTTCATTCAGAACATTCTGTTGTCATAAATTGAATGATGATACAGTTAGAGGTCAAATGAACAAAGCAAACAAAATCTGACATGAAATAAATGAGTTGCACAATGTCATTAACATATAGAAGATTTCTTATTAAATTAAACAGCATGAATGTTATCTGTAAGATACTGCTAGGTCCTCAATATATGTGGATCATAGTAACAGATATCTCAAATTGAAAAGGGCATTACGGTGGAACCTATATTAATTAGAATATAATCTACAGTAGTCAAAGCACTAAGGTAACTTCACAAGGTAATCAAACCTCTCCATGTTGAGGAGAAACCCGAGGCCTGGCTTGGACAACCAGAACAATACTTCCATTGATTAATTCAGGAACCCAGTCACATTTATCAACTGTATAATTTAGGATTCAATTGGAAATGGTGAACAACTGAATATTATGTAACTAATTAATTTATTGCTTCTATGGCTCAAAAGAATTTTTTTAGAAAATCTAGTTAGAGCTGAGAAGTGATATGATCTCGTCATTTACAAAACCCAAAACCCTGACTCCTACATTCTTCTTCCTTTCTTTTTCCTGAAGGACTTCAGTGTCTTCAACAACACTTGCTTGAAGTATGTGCCAGTGTCACTACTTTGAGAGTCAGCATGGGGTTTAAAGTATGAAAAATACCAAATTTTAAGCATACCAAGGAAGGAAAGGGCAATTTGCAAGTAACAGAAAGACAAAATGATCATTCACTATCTATGCTTCGGTTTTTCAACTGAATTAACAAGGTGCCATGTCTATAAATTCCCCAAATCTTACTGTGACATTATATTTGAAATAGACGTTGAGGGTTGTCAAAAAGTAATTGTATTCATCTCGAATAACTGGAGACGAACATGTCCCATGCTTTTCTGCAAATAAAATGAAAAAAGAAAAAAATGAATTAGTACAGATGGAAAAATAAATAAAACTTAGGTATGTGATCTTAATATCGATTATTTTCCAATAAAAGTTAGGTTGTAAACATGAAGTTGACAACAACCTTTTGGACCCATCATTTTGATAGGTCACATGACTCACACCACAAAAACACTCATGTCAAAGTTCAGCAAGATTGTAGATAGATATCTTTATATACCAAAAATGGAGCATGCAAAAGGCCAGCAACAATAGTCTGATGCACTCAACCTACGTGAAGTCTTTTCAGCAAGTCATGCTAAGCTAATTATCAAAATTTCTAACTATCTTTTGATGAAAGGAATTAGCATAATATTCAGCTATCATAGTTGGAAGCTAGGATTCAGATAACTCGGGGATATTTTTCATAATCAAGTGTTGTCGCAGCGTGTGTTATAAACTATGTATAACTTAGATACAATTTTTGCATCAGCCATGAATGTTCAGTGAATTTACTCCAATTTTAGAATAATTTAAATGCAAATATTAAACATTTCATTCATTACACAGTGCTGCATAATAAAGGACAAAGAAGATTACCCCACTGCCAATGATGTCCCCCATCCAGCCATAGTAGAAACAAAACAATGTTAGTTCCATGATATAACATCAGAAAATTCAATAACAAAGGCCACAATGAAAAAAGACCTCATGAGCCCAAAATAATCCTTTTCCACCATGACAGGTTGACGAAGAACCACAACTTAAAGATGGCCAATACTTCTCTAGGGCATCGAGCAATGTTGAGATCTACAGAAAAAATGAAACAAACATGCTTAACTAGTTCGTAGAACATTATGAACAAGAAGAATATTTGATTTAGAAAGCAATACCATTCTTAGAAATTTTGTTAGGATATATATATACATATATATATGAAGCTTAACTCCATGTGTCATGCTTAATGTTTTATCTTCTACAAAACCATCCAAGCCCGGATAAAGGAGGAGGGTTGTGGCAGGTTGAAAGCCAATGTAAAACTTATAGTAACATATGTATGAACATGAATCCTAAAATTCGTCAGCTGGAGCATTCCTACACATCAAGAGCTATATATAGTGTATAAATAGATGATGGGTTAGCTAGGGATTCCCCCAGGCAATGCACCACATCAGCACCAAGCTGTGGTGAGATCAAAAAGGCTCGACACCAAAATTGAGCTCCCTAATAAAATCTACAAAAATAAACAAAGATTCACAAAAAGATCCTTTTCACAAAAAATAAAAACTATGCAAAAGGCACATCTTCAACTTCACAATTGCTAATTTTATGCCCTAAAAAATGTGTTCCTCTCTCCATAAGCACTACAAAATGCACAATGGAGCTATGCTCCAAACTCTCTTCCTCCTCTTCCACTAATAGGAGCAACTCTGGCACTGGTATCTGACATTGGTGATATGATATTAATTGCATGATACGAGACAAATCTTCATCTTAGCAACAACAGTCCACTTATGAACTAGACAAAGTGACAAAGTATAGAGGTGAACATTTTTGTTTAACACATAAATGCATGACCATTTTTAGTATGAGACTTTGCCACATACATGGGATACAATCATTTAAGTTCATTAATTCTCTAACACAAATTTACAAAATATGAGGACAAAATACATATGTTAAGGATAGCACTTCACTACTAGTCTACTACAGCCTTAAAATATAATAAAAATGAAATAACCAACTTCTATCCGTCAATTATAAAAAATTCTCTCATAGTAAAAACAATGAATGAAAGTGGGTGTGCTCCCCACATTGTTTAGGCGGATTCAAGTTTTCGGAGATTAACCGGTGCAAGGGGTTGGGGTGCCTCTTGTCACCTTGAGTTTACCTCGTAGGGGGTGGGTCCAAAGGGCCCCCGCCTGGGGTGGGTTTCAGAGATTAAAAAAAAAAAAAACTAAATAATGAAATGAATCTACTTAATTTCTGAACAAGCAAACATTTAAACAATGTTCTTACTATTCTGATGAAAGACGTATCCATGCATGCATATACAAATCCTCGCAAATTGCTAATTGCTTCTGCATCAAATGGTGTAACATATCCCATGAGCACATAGCAAGATTTTTTTTATTTATTATTTTATGAGGTGTTCCCTTTACATCTAGGGCCCCATCATACAAGATCCCAACAAGCATCAACTATAGAAACATGTAGAGAAGCAAAGCAAAAGCTGATGTAAAATAGGATCAATTAAGTACCTCTTTTACATCAAAATTAGATCCAGTGCAACATGCAGGCCAGGTTCCATCGTTATAGTTAGACCACAATCCATCTGTAGTGCAAGGGATATTAGATAACAGAGACTACACAAAAATGATGGCGAATCATGAATTCCTTGGACATAATTTATATTTAAAGGTTTGTGTTTATGGGTCAAATTAGCTTTAAGACTATAATGAACAATCATAAGGATGAGACAAATTTGAATCCATCACTCTAGATTCTCACTGTGAAAGAAAACACTTACGGATTGTAAACTCGGTTGGAGAATTTGAGCTGGGTAGAAATCATAAACAAGATATGGTAAGTTTCTTTTTTCTGGAGCTTCAACAATATAAAATAATTTAAGAGATTCAACAGGAATAACATTATACAACACAGAAAAACATAAATGAAACACACAAAAGGAAATAGAGGTGAAAGGATAGAAAAAAAATCAAAAAAGGGCAAATTAAACGTTCCTTTTACAATTACACAAATGCTTTTTGTGCTTTTGTTTACGTATACGAGAATACTTTGACAATTTGAAGATTTGGCAAGCATGTACTACGATTGTTGCCCATGCATGGGTTTTTAACTTGGGTTCTCTTATTTGCTCCTCAATGTAGTTTTTAGTAGGTTTAGATGGGTGTATAAGTCATACCACAACTTTCTAGTTTTGAAGTCAGTATCCAAATCAAAAGAGGAGGGGCCCTAGGTCCAATACCAAACTATAACACTTTCAAATTCAACAGAGACAAAGTTATAAGCAAATGATCTTTAAGAAAATCCAACAAAGGAAATTTGTTGTTCGTAACTTTTTGGCTTTATTGGCAATTAGCAACTTTTTGCCTCCTACCAAACAAGACCCTGGTTTACAGCAGCTCCTAAACTCTTTTCCTTGTTTCATTAATATTTCCCAAACCCAATAAATTTGTTACACCATTCCAAATGCTAAAGCCCCATTTTTAACCATTCCTTTAATTTTCCCACAAACCTTTCGTCGCACTATATATACATATAACAGGCATGTAGAAGTTTGAAACCTTCCCTCAATGTTTCCAACATCAAAAGACACATTAGTTCATCTACTAATGCCACTAAATCACTAACAAACTTCCACAACATCCCACTTGAGCTGTCAAACTGAGCAAGTTTTGGTCAAACATATTTGAGAAAGTTATAAAAAGATAATCTTGACTATCTTTCTTTGGAAATTGAGGTAAACATGAGGTGAATAACTAACATTAATCAAGTAATAATTCACACCAATCCATAAGTAAAAATAGAATAAGGAGACTAATTAATGAGTATCCCCATTTAAAAAATTTCAAAGATCCATAAAAATCAGACCCTCCACAACATGACCCATAAAAGAAGTATAAAAATTAACTTCAAATAAACCATATTAGCTACAAAGAAAGATTAAAATACAGATATAAGAACCCAACACAAATATAAAATTAATTGGGTATAAAAAATGGGGAATAGAACTGAAGTACCCTCTACAACAACCATTGGAGGAACAACAATGGTGGGTTCTCCGGCAGAAAGTGCCGGGCCATTGTAGAGCCAAGACGAAGTAATCGAACTCTCTCTGTTCTCGAGCTTCTACAACCCCACCACCGCTGATAACTGGGACGCAAACCGATGCGATTAACAGACCCAGGATTTGTAGATAGAAGAGAATGGGTTGGGTGAGGAGAGAAGCCATGGTTCTCTCTCTCTTGGCTCTCTGATCGTGTAATTGTTTCTTCGTCTAATAATGGCCAATCATGGAGAGATTTTGGGGTACAATTGTAATTACAGTTTAAGTCAATTCCCAAGCAAAAATAAATAAAATTAATTAATTAATTAATTTATTAGAATAGTCGTATTATTTTATGAGGAAACTATTTATTGTTTTTTTAATTAGGAAAATTTATTAGAAAATCTTTTTTTTAAGTATTTGTATTCCAATTAGTTCATAAGTCATTATTCTATTTTAATAAATCTTATTATTTTGGACATATTTATGAAATTTTAATTCTCATGTAAGGTATTTTATGGATAATTTTAACATTACAAATATTATTTGAACCCTTAGCAATTTGGTGATCTGAATATTTATATTAAATAAATTTGACAGTGTGAATATTCACATTATGAAATATTCACAATGTCAATATGAACATTAATGTGTGTTTCATCCTATTATTATTCAGAATATTTTAGTAATTATGTCACCCATAAAAAATTTTATAATATAAAAAAATAATTAGAGTAACTTAAATAGAAGTAGGTAGAGAAAAATTTATGAATAAATACTCCTTCTAATTATTCCAATAAAAAATATTTTGTTAATGGAAATATAATTTTTAACTATTTTCTTTTTAAACAATGACAATTTGTAAATGAAAACACATTTATACATTTTAGCTTTTTTTTTTTTTTTAGGAGAAAAATAACTTGCTGGTGTATTACAATATATATTTTCACATACATTCATATAATTGTTTTTTCACTATTTTATGGAGACATTGCTGATTTATCATAGATCATGTGTCATTGATATTATTATTTAGATGTAATAACTTTTACAATCTTGTAAAAGTTCACTAATATTCTGATTCTAATATATTATTTTTATACAATGTGTTACATCTCGTAGTTTAGTTAGTACTAGCGTATGTCCGTACCTAAAGACACGGTGTAAATAATATTAAAATTAAAATATAGTCATAAAAATATATTGAAATATTTTTCTTCTTAAAAAATCTGTAACAATTTTACTTGTATTATATGCTCTACAAAACTTAAATAAAATAACAACTCCCCTAATCTTAATGCAAATTAAGAAACAAACATATCAGATTTATAATGTTCACCAATATTGAAAATCAAAATATAAGAGAAAGTAAAAAAAATTTTAAACACTGAACAAAAAACATAAATTAAAGTTATTGTATACTAAATCTATAATAAAAAGAAAAAAAATACTAAATTTATATAATAAAACACATCAGTAAGTGCTCTACAATCTCAACAAATTAAATTGAAAATTAAATATCAAACAATACATAACAGACTGTACTCTGCAATTCCAAACAAATCAAATATAAAAATAAAAAAAATTAAATATCAAATAATGCACACCAGCTAGTGCTCTGCAAGCTAAAAGAAATTAGATTTAAAATGCACACCAGTTAGTGCTACTGCTGCCAGTCAAATTATAACTACATAAGAAAAATAAACATTATATTGTCATGCACCAAAAGAGTGGGTTAAAACTTTACAAAAAAGTGGGTTAAAGCTTTTCAAAATATGTATGCTTTACAAAAAATGTGTCAATAACATATCTTTAAATATGTGTTTGTCCAAACTTCCTCCTCATTACTTTCTAAAAAGTCTTTGTATCGACTTATATGTATCCCCAATAAGGAACATGTAATCACAAAATTAGTACATCAGACCACACCTTTCATGCATTAAAATACGCATATGCATGACATATAAGATGCCTCCTCAGATGATAAAGGGCAATTGGTTCAGAAGGTTGAAATTGAAATGGCTGACAAAAAATAAAAATAAATAAATAAAATAAAATCCCAATCAACAAATCCAACTTTTAAGAGACTGGGGGATTATAATGGAACCTAACTGTATAGGGATAGCTTGAAAATGGAGCCTAATAGCAAGAGGAACAATACATTATCTAACTGTATAATATAGAGATAAATTGACATTTTTTTCACAATCATATTCCATATCAGTTTAGCTGTTTTCTTTTGTCTAACATTAACAATACATTATTTAAAAGAAATACAAATAAAAAAAATGATTGCCCGTAAAAATCATTCAAAAATGTTATGATTTTTTTTTTTTAAAAAAGAAAAAACAAACAAACAGAGCATGGAAATGGTTTAAAAAAATAGGCAACTCCTCAAGAATGCCCTGTTTGTGGGTATAATTAAGCATTAATCAACCAACTCAACTCTTATGAAGACCAACTCTTTTATCTCCAAGACCGACTCTTTTCTCATATCAAGACCAACCCTTTTATCTTCACAAACTGAGAGGGTAATTTTAGTAAAAATTGGGCCGAGCTATGAGATTGTCATATTGGGCCACAATACAAAGGGCGGTGTAAAAAAGGCCATAAAAGTTACTCCGGCCCTAGTTACGTACAAGTTATTCCGGTCTTGTGAATGTTTTGGAGCTAGTCCGGTCCAACATAAGAACGAAGTTAGATCGGTCTAAACAATACCTTTGAGTTAAACTGGCCTTGGAGTTACACCGGTCGCAATTTGATTAGTTCAGTTCAACACATCATGGGTTGAACAGGAGAGAACCGAGATAAGGAGGAGTAAAAGGAAAAACCGAACTAAGGATAGTTCGGCCTACTCTGTGGCTCAGCATAACCAGTTTTATTTCGGTTATATGGTAGTTCGACCATGGTAAAAACCATCTCACTTGGTTTAAGCAGTGAGGGGGGGTGTTAAAGGATAAGCATTATCCTACAGGAGTATGAATCCTAGGAGGACTCTATATGGAGGAGTAGAAGTCCTACTAGGATTATGCCACGTGAAACCTATAAAAGCTCACAAACATCACCTTGGGAGAGAAAAAAAAAAACACACAACTTTGCTTTCTGAATACTCAGAGCTTTGTCTATTTGTCAAGTTTGCTGACTTAGGCATCGGAGGGGTTTCCGGCACACACCCGCCGGCTAGCTCACGTTTGTGTTTTCAGGTGACAAAGCGACGTCGTACGGAGGAGCACAGACTTAGTCAACAGGATTATACGAGAAGGTATATTTCTTTCCCGTACAAAACCTTTTCAAATCAACCAGTTTTACCATTTGCTATTTGATTAGCAAAGTAAAAATAAAAAAATATAAATAAAATCCAGGAAAAATCTGATGGAAAAATAGGCACTCCTCGAGAATGACCAATTGAAAAATAGGCATTCCTAAACAAAAAAGAATGATGACTTTGTACGATCCAAAAACCCAAATCCCAAAAGAAAGGAAGGATGCAAGAAAACAACCCAAACACCACAAAATTTAATTATAATAAAAGAACGTGAAAATGAGACTCATTTTCCAATACTAAAAAATCTCAAACTTTGAATACAAAATAAAATACAAAATCCAACATACATCACACCAATGTAGGCAAACCCAAAAACACACCCAGGAAAAAGAGCAGGGAAAAGGGGACAAACCAAGAGATAAAGTAAACGGCCTAATTCATCTTTAAACAAATTTATTCAACTTTTCAACTCAACACCAAGCATTGATCAAGTAACCAATCAATTAAACATAGATCTGGATGCATGAACCTTGATATGAATGAAAACAAAAACCCAAAAAAAAAAAAAAAAATTCCTGGAAGCTTCCTATCAATTAAACAATCAATCAACAAAAATAGAAACACAGATCTATACATAGATACATGAACCCTGAGATGAGTGAAAAATACATATTAATTAAACAAAAACCCAAAAAAAAACTGACCTAGATATTGGGAGAGCACAACACCCACTATCTCTCTTTCTCTGTAAGATGTGAATCACTATGACAGGAGTTCTGAGAAAGGAGGTTGGTGAGGCACCATGACAGTGCATACATGCTCTCCTCACTTTTATCTACTGCTACCATTACCCTCCTCTCCTCCTCCATTATAATCTTCTCTGCCTCCATAATACTCACAAATAGACAAACTTTTCTTTTCTTTTCCTTTCTGGGCCTTAGGTGTGAAGAAAATTTGATAAGAAGCAAAAGCATGTATGGGGTACCTATTTATAGAGTTCAAAGTTTTGTTGTTGGATTGGAAACAGTAGTATACTATTAGGTAGTGGAAAGGAAAATTGGTTGTATCAAAACAAGAAAAAAAAAGTAAAAAAATATAAGAAAACTGGAGAAGTGGTGTAATAACCCCGACCCCTAATGAACGTTAAGTCATGATTAAGTATGTCTAATAGTGATTTAGAAGAAACCTGGAATTTATTTTGCATATGTATTACATCATTTTTGTGTTTTTATCTGTTCAGTGTTAAATTATCTGTTTGCGTTTCATGTTTTAAATTGAGAATTAAAGGCCTTATCGGCGGCAGAACCGGAAATTGATTAATGTTTTATGATCGCCGAAATTTATATGATTTTATGGCATGTTTAATTGAGATGTGTTTGGTTATGATTAAATTAGATCAAATGAGCTAAAATTACATAGTTGGTCTTAATTACAATTTTGCCAAGATAGTGGGCCACTGTCTAAACATGTTGAAGCCTTAGCACACCCCATTCAAACACATTTCCTCAGCTCATTTTGTTGTCCTAACCGACTAGAGAGAGAGGAATAAGAGAAATCTTGTGGTCTTTAAAGAATTGCTTGGAATTTAGGAGGATTGAAGGAGTCTTGCATATTTGAACTTGTACATCTTGCATTCAAGGCTTAAGGTAAGGGAATTCATCTATTTAGTTATGAATTTAAGCCACTTCATACTTGGTCCATGATAGATTGGTGACTGGAGCTAGAAATTGGTTTATAATGTTGATTTGGGTAGAGATTCATGCATGCATGTGTCATAACATAGCATTTTGAAGTGTTTTCATGAGAATTCTTTGCATGCAAGGCCATATTCAAGTTATAGTCCATGAGTTCATCATGAATTGGAGTTTAATCTTGCATTTGGACACATTGTGGAGCATTGGATTTCAAATAAACACTTGCATGTTTCATACACATCGTGTTCTTTAAAGTATTGTCGAAATTATATTTAATTGAACTACC